TTCCTCATCAGACGAATAAAAATCCGAAGGGGATCTCTTACTTAGAATGTCTGAAAATAACATGCCTGATCATGAATCAAAATCATAAATGTCAATATCAAATTATAATCAAACCACTCGTAGGGAAATGCACGCCCGATCAAAACCACGTAAAGCAACATTTAGGGCAATGTTGCCTAATAATAATAATAATAATAACAAATAAATAAATAGGAAGAAAGTAGCTGATGAACGCCCCAGCTTTGGACCACCTTTCTTTACGTCGATCTTGATAGCCCGACACTTCTCACAAAACAAATTCACCACATGATTGTACCTTATTCGTCTATGAACATTTTTAAAAACTTGATCTCGTGAGTTGTCCCACTACAAACATAAACAAACACGCACACGCTTGAATATTTAAGGAGTTGTCATACTACAGCGTATGAAACCAACGTACGAGTAATGTATGGATGTACGTTGTAGTGTGACAGCCCCTTAACATACACGTTCCCATGAGCACAAATATACTTGCATTCACTGGCTATATATAATCATGTAAGTATGCGCACACACACAATAAAGCACGTTAGTTATGATACCTCAGTTCTCCGTATTGAAATTTGAAGATAAAATCATTATCTATGTATGCATGGTTCTTAACAACGTTTTCTTGTAACGTTGCAGCATTTCCAAATACTTTATGAGGTAATCAGTTTATCTAAGTACAAATATGATTAATAAGAATTCCACAACGCAAGATATGAAGTGAACAAAATATATAGGCAGAGATAGAGAGATAGCGATAAAGAGCTGATATAACTTTGAGTGTTATGTCTCTTGATATTATCCAGTTAACATTTTACCTGATGCAGTGTTAAGATAAGATTGGACAGAGAGGTAAAACGACCTTCTTCAACCGACATAACTAACCTCCGTTGTGCTAAGAAACATGATGGGCGCCAAGAGTTGCAATGAACATTTGGTAAGTACTTATTCACAAGCAAGTGAACAATACATTTTAGTATATAAAGTGAATCATTATGCCTTAATCTAAATGAGAAACAATTTACTCCATATCTATATAAATATGTATGTATAGGACTGGTAACCCTACTGCAAATAAGTTGCAGGATTGCAATTGTGACGACAGAAGCCCCTTTTTTAGTTTGCACAATCTAAAGCTCTATTGCAGACGCGCGTGTACGTATGGTAATGGCACTGGGAGAGTGACAGCTGAGTGCCTGCGGGTGAAATGCCCTTATGAGTAGGGGGTTATATATCTATAATAAAGGCTTAACCTGGTAATTAAAATGGTTGGAGCATGACTTTCAAGCTTGTTGTATTATTATATTACGTAACCAGACTGAAGACTTACTGTTAATAATGTAGGAAGTAATACTTAATGCGGATAAGGCGAAAGAGTCCGGTTATCGTGGATATAATGCGTCAAAGTAGATAGCATTGAATATTATATTAATAAGCTCGTCTTTTGGTTAAAAATAGATTAATCAAAATCACGGATCATTTTTACTTGAGGAATAGAGAAGAGAGAGGTGAAAAAAGAAAGAAAGAGAGAGGAGAGAAGGTGAGAGAGATAGAGAGTGAAGAGCATGTTTCAGATGAGTATAGAGGAAAGAATCAGAGGCTGACTTGTGTCTGGTAATCACGGGCCCGCAAAGACAGCCGCTGCTTCTTTTTTCTTCTTTTCCTCACATAACAGAGTGAGGAAAGTGAGAGGTGAAGAAGTTACCAATAGGAAGCTACCCCTGCTGTCGATAAGGGTTGAACCGATCGTCGAGTTTTTGAAAGCCTTTAATCCAGATGTGATTGAAGATCTATGCATTATCTACCGGGAAAAAATCAAAAGCAGAGGATTGAATATGACAAGTAGTCACTGGTAGACCTACTTGATGAAAGTCATATTGACGATCTGAAATTATTTAAAAGGAATTGTTATTCTGGGAGTGGCGGCCTCCATAGTCTTAGGTAGCAAGGTAGTTTAAGTATTTTAAATAAGGTAAGACATTGTAGCAGCTAGAGTCAGTTGCTTTGACTTTAGTTACAGCAAAGAAAAAGGGTATTAGGGATAGGGGTTCGCTGTAAGAGGTGAGCAGAGTTAAGTTCATGGAAAGTCCAGTGACAGAAGGTAAAAGCATTTGTGTGCGACGCCACATACGTAGCTGCCATTGCGTGTTGTGTAATGTCGGTGTCACTTTAACAGAATGAAGGAAAAAAGGAAATGTATAAATGTGTAATTTTTAGTAATAAACAATAGAACGACCACGGCGAGGTTTGTAGCCTGAGATGGCCACCTGGAATAGCGAACTAGCAATAGCTCCAGTCGCAAACTAGCGTAGCACATAGGGACCACCCCTCCCTCCCCAGACGACGACCCAGCAGAGGAAAAGGACTGGCCCCAACGCTGATCCACTTCAGGAGGGATTCAAAGCCTACAGGAAGACTAGGTGCTTCGCTTGCCATGGCCAGTAGTGATCTATGGTCTATTATCACATCCGGCATTTGAAAAGAATTATTTTCTAATTATCACACCAATACAAATGCTTTTAAACCAGCCTTGATGCACCAAGCCCGCGTGAGAGAAAATGTAAAGGAATTAAAATGTGTGCGTGTTTGATACACTGTAAAAGAAAAAGAAAAAAAAAGCTACATGTAGAAATGAGTTCTCTTTTATAGCTTTCTTTGGCTTCAACGGACGACGCAAGTCTACGGTGTACCTTCGGCTCCCTCTCTGCAGATGCCTTCACTGATGCTGTGGGTAAGACAAGTTTGATACAATTTATATACGTTTCCATATCAAGAAGTGCGGGATAATGTCCGACAAAAGACACACACACACACATATATATATATATATATATATATATATATATATATATATATATATATATATATATATATATATATATATATATATGTGCGTGTGTGTGTTGTGTGTGTGTGTGTACATATCTAATATATACATGTATATATATATATATATATATATATATATATATATATATATATATATATATATATATATATATATAATGTATACATATATATATATATATACATTCATAAATATACATATATGCATATAAACATACATATACATATAATCATGTATATATACATATTATATATGTATATGTATATATATATATATATATAAACATATAAATATGTATAGGCATTTATGTATATGTTTATATACATAAAGTTATATGTATATATGCATATATATACATGCCTATATATATACATATGTCTATATATTCAGGGAAAGAGCAACTCCGCTGAACTCTAATTCTCCCAATACAGTAGTCAAAATCATGGACGATGTGTGTGCGTATTTGAGTATATATATATATATACATACATATACATTCACACAGATATATGAACATATGAATGTGTGTTTGTGTGTCTGATTTACTTTATCGCATTAAGTTTAACTGATGCAGCGATAATGCATTTAGCTATCGTCTTAAAGACAGTTTGCTAAAGCCAGCCTCCTTCCCAGCGTCCAGCCACCTTCACCGGGCGGCAGGCAAGGGTCGGTGGCAGGTCGTGGAGATGCTCCTGGACGACGGCGCAGAGGTCAACGCCAAGGACAGGTCAGGTAAGGCGACTGAAAGTACCAGTGACGTCATCGAGGAATGACTTACTGACCTCTATTCCTCGTCTATTCCTTGCCCCTGATGCATCTAATTTATTTAATCTATTTAATCTATTGTTGCTGTTGTATCATTTTCATTATGTGTGCGTTTTTAAAAGCTCAAGTAGTGTCTCACCATTTTGTCACTGTAGTATGAATAGGAAAAGGAGTAGAATTTACGAATAGAAGGATACTCCAACCACCTCCAGACAGTATGTCATAGCAAAGAATTTTCATTGTAACAAATGGAATTAGAACTAAATCTTTTTAATCTTTAAATCATTAAATCTCTCCTCAGACTCGAGCCCCTTGCACTGGGCTGCTGGAGGAGGCCATGACGCCGTTGTGGAGTTGCTCCTCTCGAAGGGCGCGCACGTGAACGCCGGGAATCGCTTTGGTGAGTTGGCTGGCACAAAAATGAGGTCAACGAAGTACTGGATTTTCATTTTGGCTCGTTTCTCTCTCTCTCTCTCTCTCTCTCTCTCTCTCTCTCTCTCTCTCTCTCTCTCTCTCTCTCTCTCTCTCTCTCTCTCTCTCTCTCTCTCTCTCTCTTCTTTTTTTTTTTTTTTTTTTTTTTTTTTGCTGTTGCCATATTGTATTATTGCTGGTGTCTCTAACCGTTATTATTGCTCTTCTGAACACGGTTAATACATCGTATAATTGTCATTATCATTGATATGTATTTTACTTGTGATATTGCAATGGATATTATCATCATTATCATATATTCGTTGTTGTTTTTCATCATTATCAGCATTGTTATCATTATTATCTATTATTGACTTTATGATGAGAGTGATAATGATGATCATGAGGATAATGATGAATAATGTAATCATTATCCTTCCTTTACCATGCTGCGAGTTGTGCAGTACTGATCACATTTGTGAAAATTACATTGCCAGCCTGGGGAAGTATTAATTTCACAACCGAATGATTGTTTAAAATCATCTGTCACCTTAAACGCAAAGGTCGTTGATGGCACATTCCTCTATACACTTTTAGACTGCCAGTGGATACTAAAATCATTTGGTCAGTCTTGCATGATTCGCAGCTTAATTTATTTCTATTTTTCGGCTCACAACTCCCAGGGATTTCCTTCATTTGTGTTCGCCTCCTGTGTTCTCTTCACGTGCCTCTAAAGGGGCGGTCACACTAATCTTATCTGATAGGGAAAAACATTCCACCGATTTACTTCATTATTACATATCATACAACTGTGCCAGCTACCCCAACCCACCATATTTCAACAGAAACGAAAAATACGACAATAAACCTTAAAATAGCATATATCATTAGTAATGTAATCAATGATGTAAAAGAGCTGTAACTATGGATAGTTTTAGAACGTAAGTTTGGTGGAAGCAAATTTTATAACTGAAAGTTTCTTGCTGATTCCATCCGCAATTGTTATTTATACCTCTCTACTATCATAATATTTGTTGATGATACTCCATTATTGTTCACTGGTTCTTGCTTTGCCCACCAGGACAAAAATAATCTCTAAAGTAAGCTCTATGCCTTCAGAATGTCGGAGTGGGTACGTGTTTGCATTCCTTGATTAGATAACTTTTTTGTCTGGATAATCTAAAATTTAGTGAGGCACCATTGTCAGTCGTAATACTGTATATATTACTTATTTCTACAATGTTATTATACCTAATAGGATATAATGATCACTGTTTAGATGACAAAGTAATAATTATACAATAGTTTTTGCTTTCGCATCATCACTCCCTCTGTACCTGGAGCGAAAGATCAACGCAGTGGTTCTCGGTCGGTGGCGCTCTAGGCAAGGATTTCCATCTCGGTTCCCTTCACAGCCGGGGAAGTATCCTGCTCTATAAAGGGATCCCCAGACAGCCAAGACTAGTGTGACCGCCTTTGAGCGAAAACCGTTGTGTTGGTATGTCGATTTGTCATGATACAGAATCCACAACTATCATCGATGTGTAGTTCATTCAGGTGCCATTTAATTAGGGACTGATCAACATCTAAATCTGATTCCCAACCCCATGGTCGCGACCCAGGAGAGTGTCACCAGGGTTTTTCTGAGGGTCTTAAAAGAAGAATTAAAGAATCAATAACTGGATATGTCAGTAAAAGTTTGTTTTTTTACTAACATTCATTTATTGAAATTCAATGCGTTGGCAATATAAATCTATAAAAGTATAGAATACCGTAAGCTAATATACATCTGCAAGTATAACTACCAGTAAAATGGTTGCATATATTACATGTTCTCACATTTAGGGTCGCTAGCTCTGGCAAAGACTGTCTTTAGGGTTGCACTGGAAAAAAAATTAGGAAACACTGATCTAAATTAACTGTTACGCGGTACATTCACGTGAGATATCTTCAGGACAGAGGCCAATACACTACGCAGCTTACTTCGGTCACCTGACGACGCTGGAGGTCCTGCAGGAGAGAGGGGCTGCCGTGGATGTCAAGGATGACAACGGAGACACGCCGCTCCACCTCGCAGCCACAGAAGGGCGTCTCCTCGCTCTGTTCTCGCTGGTGAAACGCGGAGCTCCTATAACTAAGAACAAGAGAAGAAAGACTCCGAGGGACTTGATGAAGAAAACCTCCAGTAGAGACGGCCCTGGCATAGAGCTTTTCCGGGGAGTCTCCATGGTGAGAATAATGATAATTGGCATAAAGGTTGTACAGTTGCCAAGTTTTGTTTTGTTTTGTTTTTTATATGCATGGCTGTGGAAACGTTCTGCCATTATTTTAGGCTTCTTGGTCGTTATTGTCATTATTGTTCTATCTTGTGATACCCAGGAAAAGAATTCCATAGATATTCGAAATGTGAATAAATGCATATCAGACAGAGCATGCAGTTATCGGTTAAATTAACTGTATCACATTTCAGGGTGCTGTTCTGGAGAAGTGGACTGAAGTCGAGAAAGAAGTGATTAAGCTGCAAAGAGAAAATGAGAAGTTGCAGGTTAGATTTAATTTTATTTATTTTTTTACTCTATTTTTTTTTTTTTTTTTATGTAAATGATGTTAAGGGGTGGTTCAACATTTTCAACATTTTTACACGCGCACAAGAGAACAATCTTTTTGCTGACCCCCCCAACCCCAACCCCAACTCCCTCCTTTAAGCGTACGCCTGAAAAAGCTGATGTCAGAGGTGCCCTTAAGCAGACTGGGTAGTCCTGCGAAAATGTTCCTGATAGTCATACAAAGCCCTAAAAGCTTAATAGGGGATAATTGCCATAATTAGGTTTCATTTTCTCTTGGGAGAAGCATCAGGATCATTTTCTATTGGGACAAGTAACATGACTAGGTTAGTCTGTGAAACATTTCATACGGAATATTAAGTATACTGACTTTTATCATGAATGAATTTATTGATCGTTTATAAAGTTTAGATAGCTTAGGGTTTAGGTTGACATTGAAACGGGAAAGAGATATTTAAGTACAGATACTGAGCACTCAAAACGATCTGACATCGACATTTTCATAGACTTTTAAAAGGCGTTTAACCTCCCCCCCCCCCTTAGCGTGCGCTTTTGTACGTTCGTGAGAGTTAATTTTTTTAAACCATCTTAGCGTGTGTGATGGGTTTAACCGTTAACCCCCCCCCCCTTAGCGTGCCCTTTGTACGCTCGTGATTGTTTATTTTTTTTAACAATCCTTAAAGTAAATTAAAAGGAATTTAAAGAGAAATTGAAATGAGGATATTTCATACCACTGAGTGGAACAAGATTTATTGTCAAAATCCAGATAATGATGATAAACAAAATCGCGATTATATAAAATCAAATGCATAAAAGTATTGATAGGGGATCTGGTGTGTCTGGGGGGGGGTCCAGAGAGAGGAAGCGAAGAAGAAAGAGAGAGAGAAGAGAAGAGGAATGGCCAGAGAGAGAGAGAGAGATGGGGGGGTAGAGAAACACACTACCAAAGAGAGAAAGAAAGGAAAGAAAGACGTGGATCAAGAGCTAAAGAGAGAGAACGGAATGGAATGAAACGAAGACGAATAATTCTGTTCTCTTTTCCACACAGGATCGTCTGGAGGGAAAAACGATAAGAATCCGAAGACTGAACTCAAAGATAAGAGAGATGGAAGCAAATGTTTCTCATGCCGGGCCATCTTTTTCTTCCCAAAATGTGAAAAATACAAGAGTAAGTAAATGCAAAATGACGTTTATTACAGATTCGCGATTAGGAAATAAAAATGGTTTCAAAGATGATATGCATTAAAATGTGTATAAAAATGTCTACATTTTTGTTATTGCTATTTTTATCATTATAATTATTGTTATTATTATCAATTCTTACATCATCATCAGTAGCATTATCATAAATATTATTACCGGTGCCAAGGAGGTCATGATTTTCGTATAGTTTTTTTTTTTTTTATGGTTAGCAGGATGACAAGAGGTTACGAACAGATTTTTATGAAATTTTTACGAGGTGTGTCTTAGCATTCCAAAGATGCCATTCCTGATCCGGATCTAGGAATGTTTTTAAGTATTGCACCATATATATGTATTTATATATGTATGTTATATATATATATTATTAATATTAATGTATATATATATATATATATTATGTTATCTATTTACACACACACCACACACACACACACACACACACACACACACACACACACACACACAACACACACACAACACACACACACACACACACACACACACACAACACACACACACACACACCACACACACATACACATACACACACACAAACACACACACACACACACACACACACACCACACACACACACACACACACACACACACACACACACACAATCACACACACACACACACACACACACACACAACACACAACACACACACCACACACACACACACACACACACACATATATATATATATATATATATATATATATATATATATATACAATATATGTATAGGTCACCACACAACACAACACACCACACACACACAAACACAACACACACATTATATATATATATATATTATATATTATATACATATAATATATATATATATATTATATACATATATATATATACATACATATATATATATATATATATGATGTATATATATATGTATATATATATATATATATATATTATATTATTATGTATATACCGTAAACTTACATATCCACACGCATGTGTGTGTGTTTGTTGTATGAATATATGAGAATTTGAATTTATTTAATTAAATGCAGGCATGAAGAGCGTAAATATATCAGACAGCATGAATTGTAAACTGTTTGCCCTTTTAATGCCACTTTTCTCTTTGTGAACCTGAAGGGGTCACGCGCAGCACACCCGGAGCGTGCCTTTCGACCCCCAGACAGGAGCATGGTTCTGCCGCACAGTGTTCCGGAAAGAATGAGCAGGGCCCCGGGAGCAGCTGGCAGGGACAGGCCTCGTCGGGGAAGAGCAACAGGTGATGATTTCCTGGAAGCAACATGGTGGGGCGAGTCGCTACGAACAGCAGGCAGGAGGAGCCATTCTTCACAAGGCGCTGGCAGGGACGGGCTTCTTGGGGGAGAAGCTGCCGGCACTAAGTCCCTGCAAGGAGCAAGAAGACGGGGTGCGTCTCTGCAGGTAGCGGGCAGAAAGGGCAAGTCTCCCCTGGCAGCTGGTAGGGACAGCCATCGAGAAGTAACGAGCAGTGACGAGCAGTCAGCAGGGTGGAATGAGTTTCTGCGAGCAGCAGGCAGGAGGGGTGAATCTCTGCCAGCAGTTGGTAGAGACAGGACTCGAAGAGAAGCAACGAGTAGTGACGAGTCTTTGCAAGCAGGAAGCAGGAGGGGCGAGTCTCTGCAATCAGCTGGAGAAGCAACAAGCAGTTACGAGTCTCTGCAATCAGCTGGAGAAACAACAAGCAGTGACGAGTCTCTGCAATCAGCTAGTAGGGACAGGCTTCGAGGAGAAGCAACAAGCAGTGCCGTGTCCCTGCAAGCAACAGGGTGGTATGAGTCTCTGCGAGAAGCAGGCAGGAGGAGCGAGTCTCTTCAAGCAGCTGGAGAAGCAACAAGCAGTGATGAGTCTCTGCAAGCAGCACTTAGGTGGCACAAACCTCCACGGGCAAGTGGCAGATACAGGTTTCGGAGAGAAGCAACAGGTAGGAATGAGTATGTGCGAGCAGCGGACAGGAGGGAAGACCCTATGCAAGCAGCAGGCGGATGGGATGAGCTTAAACGAGCAGCGAGCGAGAGGCAGGCGAGTCTGCGCAACCACCAGGCAGGAGGGGCGAGTCTGCGCAACCACCAGGCAGGAGGGGCGAGTCTGCGCAACCACCAGGCAGGAGGGGCGAGTCTCTGCGAGCAGCGGACAGGTGGGATGGGTATGTGCGAGCAGTAGGTAGAAGGGGCGAGTCTTTGTAAGCAACAGCCATTAGGGTCTATGCAAGCAGCAGGCAGGAGAGATGAGTCTCTAAGAGAAGCAGGCAGGAGGGCCGAGTCTGTGCAAGCAGGCAAAAAAAAAAAAAAGTGTTTGTGCGAGACAGTAAATGCTGTACAATTTCAGTATGTGTGGATTTCTTGTTTACATTTTGAGATAGCTGAGGTCTAAGTCGCTTAACCCCCAAATGGCGGGCAAACAGCACCTATTTCAACTGGAATGAGAAGGTAGCTTCTGTGCAAAGAGCCATTCTCTCTAACTCCCTCTTTCTCACTCCTCACTTCTCTCTCTCTCTCTCTCTCTCTCTCTCTCTCTCTCTCTCTCTCTCTCTCTCTCTCTCTCTCTCTCTCTCTCTCTCTCTCTCTCTCCTCTTTCTATTTTTTAGTCCCCAGTGTAACTTTCTAGCCAATGTCATATATTATAATATGACCTATATCATATATTATATCAAGAAAAAGCCAAGATCATAACCGATACAATTAAAAGAAATAAAATGAACTGGTATTTTTTATCACTATTAAATTCTCACATTATATATATGTATATAAAAAGATTATATAATAAACACACGTATATACCCACAAAAATATATACGCACACACGTATATACCCACAAAAGATTATATAATAAACACACGTATATACCCACAAAAGATTATATAATAAACACGTATATACTCGTGCATTGGCTAAACTATTATTATTCATTGCCTTATTATTCAACATATAACCTAATTCTAACATTACTGAAATTAGAATATGGAATATTATAAGGATACCACGAGTTGTTCAGTTAGTTCCACAAGAGTCAAAACTATTGTAATTACTTCACTTTTACACATCCATCTCAACAAAATTGTTTTTTTAAGTAATCAGACACTGTTTTTGTGAGGAAAAAATAAAACATGTAAGCACTGGGAATAAGGTCATTAATGCCGTGACCTCTTATTACCATATCGCCTCCTAGTGAATTCAACAGCAACAGACATTATTACTGGCTCTCTCTTGAATATCCATTATAGTACACAGATCTCTCTCTCTCTCTGTCTCTCTCTCTGTCTCTGTCTCTCTCTCTCTCTCTCTCTCTCTCTCTCTCTCTCTCTCTCTCTCTCTTCTCTCTCTCTCTCTCTCTCTCTCTCTCTCTCTCTCTCTCTCTCTCTCTCTCTCTCTCGGCCCATATAGTTGGACATGAAGATCTGTTAAATCAATTCGCCAATAATCATCTAACATAAATAACAAAGGAATAAAATAAAAGGCACTAACAAAACTCTATATGTATATAAAGATAAATAGTTAAGCGACGGAGGGACTTAAACAAGAGACAGCAATTACAAGGCTAATGGCGGAATAAGGTGAGCTGTGGTGCCATCATTTTAATCATTTGGCCTAAATGGAGTCAGGTCAAAATAAAAATCGTTCTCGTATAATGTAATAACATATATAATAAACTGAAAAAAATCTGTCAATATTATTTCATTATCATTAAACATGTGAAATAAAACATAACTCTAAAAGGAGAATTTTCATGAACTGTCAGGAGTTTTTAGGCTCGCTTAACGAAGGTGTGTCTATTTTTAGATTTATCCATTTATTTCTATACGTCTATGTATGTATGTGAGCAAAGGCGTTCATATTAGAATTTCGATCCCAAGAAACAGTAAAAGAAAACTTTGCGTTCGTTTTCATTTTACAGGTATTGGTGAAAACGTTTGCGTTAGTTGTCCTCCGCGGATTTGTTGACACGGAACAGCTGATCGTGACTCGAATAGCAGACGAGATGCCTTTACGCTGCATGTATGGACACCTGAGAGTAAACAATGCCTCCCAGGACTTATCGAAGTTAATGAAAATCAAAATGGAAAGCATTCAAATTGATCCGAGGGAAGATCCTGGTATACAAAAGGAAATAGAAGACCCGCTTTCAAAACACCTACTAAACAAAACAGAATAATTTTCAAACTTGCCGCCAAACCAAGAAGCCGACCATCACCACACAGAACCACAACAAACATCAACAACAGCAGAGGACACCGAAACGCAAGTAAAACCCAACAAAATGTAGTTTTGGTACAATTAACAGATTTTTATACTTCAACTATCAATAATCCAGTTAGATTTATGGTAATTTTACAGAATAGTTCCGCCTAACAGATCGCGACTATTTTGGTATCGATGGATTCCTCTCACTCTACCATCCAAATACAGAAAATCATTGGGTATAAGTTGCTTATAGCGACGCACATAGATATAGGGAAATGGACACCGCCATCTGATAGAGCAAAAAAAAATAGAATAGGACACAACATAGCTACAGTGGCCCTCTCCTTTGCAGGTCTACAATTGGGTAACTAAGGAAGTGTATGGTCAAATTGTCCTGTTTGTTTGTTTACATGTTATGTCCTTGAAAGTTGAAGGATGCAAGGGGGGGGGGGAAGGCAGGAGACAGTGTACGACCAACATCTGGTATTCCTGCCGTGAATACGTGGAGGACTTTTTGTTTTCCTGGGCAGAGATTGGTGAGCAACCACCCCCCCCATGGGGTGTCACAGGAGGCATTAGACAATATCGTAACTGATTCTACATATATTAATTTACTCTGCAAGAATGCAGGGGGTTGTGGGGGTTCTGCACTACAATATGATAGAAAGAGAGAAAGGAATCCATCGATATCATAATAGTTGATATCTGTTAGGCAGATCTATTCTGTAATATTACCAAACTTGCAGACGCTATAAACAAATTAGAATTTCAATAATAAATTAAAGAAAACACTGAGAGTCCTGGGAACAGGAAAGCCAATTAGGTTTGAAGAGGCAATAAGGTTTGAAGTATATGATCTGCTTGAAGTAAAAAATTTATAACTAGTAAGAATAAACAAAGACATAGTACATGTAATGGGTTTAATCATACATTCAAAGAATGCAATAATGACCTGCACTGTTGTTACTGCAAGGAAAACCATGCACCAAATTACATAGCATGTAAAATTCACAAAATAGGACAAGAAATAAATAGAAGCTACACACTACTAAATAAACTAGATAAAAACAACTATAACAGTTGAAACCATGAATAACCAAAGAGCAAAAACAACAAAATGACACAGTAACAGAAACAACCAGAAATGATGACAAGCAAGTTGAAAGTAACTCACAAAACACAAAGTAAAAACAAAACACAAATTACCTTTCAAAATACAAAACTAACACATGCACAAACTTTAAACCAAGAACAGAACCAGCATATGTACAAATTTTAAACGAAGATCAGAGCCAAACTTGGTCAGAGAACCTCAACTAACCAAAAAAGACAAAGAACACAAAGAAGCAACACCAAATACAACAGAAGAAACAACACAGAAGACCAAACATACTCCAAGAGAGAAACAAAGTTTTGACAGAAAAGACACAGATGAGAACATAACAGAACAAGCACCAATAACATGATCATTACCAACACCCATACAAGACCAGACACAAAACAAGCATTAGTAGAAATTGTTCCTGGAAGGCAGATACCAACTTGATACTCTTAATAAGAGAAGTTTTGAAATAAAATGCCTTCATTTGAAACAGCTGAACCTTGATAACAAAGTCAGGTTTATCAGTCATGGTCTCTGTACACCTTTCTTACATCCCACAACTCTATTAAGTTCCCAGTTAAATTTTGAGACCAACGTTCCTTGCAACATACCTAACGATTGATGGAGGGGCACAAGAATTGACAGCTTATGGGTATTGCCTCATAATATCAGTTTGTGTATCTGGCAGCACCTTCATAGGCAAACTGTTGATACTTTGCTAAACTTTAGGTGAAATTTGTACAAAGCATTGTCTGCTGTTTCTCCATTTTGGACATCACACTAAGCAAAGTTTACAGAGCAAACCTCGCCCACGTGGATGGGGCATAACCAACATTGAGTGAACAGTCAGCACACAAAATTGCTTAAATTTGTGAAGTGAAAGCTTTATGAATTTGGCTCTTGAACTAGAACCAGGGGATGTGCCTGGCACAAGAATGTAATTAATTATGAATATCAGACATAAAGACAGCAACACCAAGATTACCTATACTCCAAACAAGCACAAAATAAAGAAATGGACAGACAGACAAAGGAACCCGAAATCCACTGTACACACCAGAAACAAGTACCTTGAAAGAAAATAGAGTACTTTCACATTTGTCAAACCAATCACTCACTTCAAATTTCAATAACACACCAAAATTCACAGAAGCACTAAACAAACCAAATTTCAAAAGCATATAATAGAAAATTCCCAAAGAATCATGGAAGATGGTAAAGCCATAAGATTTAAAATGATGGATTTTAAGAAATGATAAATTTGGAAACGACACCTATCACAAAGTCGCGGATGAAGACTCTTTCCCTGAAATCTCTTTCAAACACATCTAACACTCATCATAAAGTACAACTCGGTTATTCGCCTTGATAACCACATGAAACCTATCAGGAAAATTGTGGGGTAAAAGTGAATCATTAAAGTAAAACTATCGGTAATTTAGTTATTTGATGCACATTTTTAGTAATTAACCACCTTTCAGCAGTGGCTGCTTTGGAAAACAAAGAACATGAAAATTCCCCAATAAAGTGGACACTCCCAACATTGACTATGTAAAAAGAAAGATAAGACATAGATGAAAAAAACTTGGACAGAAATTGCAAGAAAGTATATTTAAAATGATATCAAATATAGCAATATACTAAAAATCAGAAAAGTCAATTATTGACATAGATGAAAAAGATCTACTTGGACAGAAAAGTCTTAAAGACTTGCTAGGTTTTATGTATAGTAGAATGCTAGATCCATATTAAACAAAAGAATAAATATAAATTGAGATTACTTCTGGAATTTCTTTGATTATTAAGTAATCACAGTCTGCAGAGCTAGGTAAACAAAAAATGACAACCTTAAAATACAAAATTACAAAATCATAAGAAAAGACAGGACAAAACAAGGAGGTTAACTATTTATATACAAAGAAATATAAAATATTTTAATAATCAGCCTGAGAGATAGACAACAACTTTTTGTATAATATTTGCTACAAAAAAAAAAAGTGTATTGATTCCCCCCCAATCCCTTGCTCGTAGTTGTCATGGTCGGGCTTAGGAGATGGAGACTTGAGGCTATCCTACTTTGGGTCTCAGCCCTCGCTTCAACTAATCTTGCATTGTCTTTTCTTCTCCCCCTTTCCTTTTCCCTTTCTTCATCCCCTTCTGTCCACTTCCTAAGGTGTGAGAGCCTTGCAAAGAGGATGAAAGGCTGGTTTTGTGTCTCGGGAGGCATGCATATGGTATTGCCTTGATTAATTGCCTAGCCCTTACCCTTTAGGGGGACCCTGAGGGGTAGCTCATTTCCTTTCCCCACTTATTACGGGCTCACCATTGCCAATACTGAAATTTTGGGGGCCATCAAGGCTTGCCCATTCATCAACAAGCCTATCTAAATTTGATTTCATGGGTTTCCCAACCCCTGCCTCTTCTCTGACCATGGCTCCAAACACTGATACTAATACTCCATCCTTGATGTTTACTTACAACTCTATCCATTCCAAACCACCCACCCAGGTCATTACCTTCAGAATGCACCTCTTCCCCTCCCAGCATTCTCCACTCCATCTCCTACTGCACTGTCTTCTCATTGTCAACCCCCTCCTCTGTTATTACTACTCTTCCTCTTTATTGTCCCCCACTGTACATCATTATTCTGCAGCATCCCATCTTATGCCTGCCCTCATCCAACCCAACCAGACATTGTCACTCCACAGCCCACTGCCCTCTATATGCCCAACCTAGTCATGACCATTCAAATTGCCCTGCTCAGTCACGTACATGTCCCAATTGTGGTGGCTCCCATAATATATTTTATAGGAGCTGCCCTGCTAATAAGTTCAAATGTCTGAGTGAGGCCAGATGGGAAAACTGTCTACCTATTCCAAAACTGCCCTTTGCTCTGCTCCCATCCCACCTTCTCAAGATGTCTCGTCATCTTTCCAAGTACAAATTACTTTTCCAGTCTAAATCCAGATACTCCAGTCTCTACCATTTCTCCAATGCCTACCTATCCTCCTCCCTCAGCATGTTCCGCCAGATAACCTAAACGTTTCATTCCATCTTTGCCTGCCACATCATCTGCACCCTCCTATTCCACTGCTCCTCAAACATTATCTGCCCCTTTTCTCCTCCTCACAAGAAAGCCTTTGTTTCTCAGACCTCCCTACCCAATTTTCCTCCAGAACCTCTTGAAGACATCCAGAAATTCATAAACATGGTTCAGGAGAATGATCTGCTCTCTCATCCCCCCTCCGCTCCTACTGTTCTTGTTCCCTCTACATTCAAAATATTTGCCAATATCCATCCTCCATCTCAATTTCCCCCTTACCCTCTTCCTCCCACTCTCTCCCAACAAACCTCATCCTTTTCTCCATGTGCACCATTTCCTCATCATTCCCCATTATCCTTACTGCTCCCACCTGGATGTTCACATGAATCCCTACTGTCACAACAGTGTTCTGTGGATCCCTCTCTTCCTAACTTTCTTTCAGTTGCTTTGCCACCATCTTCAGGCCCCTCATCTCAAGTTGTTGTTTTATGTAAAAGAGGAAGTTACCAGTTCTTTAACACTTTATATTACAAACTTGAGAAGTGATTATTGATTCTTTGAACAACTAGCAGCTGATTTAGCATCATGGAATGTGGAATTGACTATTTAATCCATTGCAGGAATTCATAGCTGTTACAAGATGTTACAGATGCAGCGTATGATTTTGCAGATACATAGACTGGCTTGAAGACGTAAGTAGTGTTATTGTTATTGTTGTGTCACAGTAATATTATTTGCTTTTGATATATGATATTATTATTCTAATTGCAGTTATAATGTTGTCAGAATTAGTATTTTATGGTATTATTATATCATTGTCATTATTTTTGTTAAATTGATTTTGTCACACATTGAGAAGGGAAGAATGACAGTGAATAACTTCACAGGTAGCACACCTTTTGCATTGTCATATTTATTCCCATTCATGCCATTATAATATTTTGCTAATTGCCTTGTACAATCTAGATAGTTATTTTCCTATTCTTATTTTGTTATTATTACTGCTGTAAAATTCTGTGACTAGATTAGTTTGACAGAAAATATAACTTTATCTCTCTTTCTCTCTGTGTATACCTCTCTTTTTCTCTGCCATTCCTTCTCTTGTTCAATTTTTTTCTCTCTCTCTTTCTCATTTTAACCTCCATACTGTAATATTAATATCAGTTTTGAAGGATAGCTGTTTTGTGAAATATATTTGGTAATGAACACAAGCACAAACACAATCACGTGTACACAAAAATGAAAATGAAACTAGCCACAAAATATATATATATATATATATATATATATATATATATATATATATATATATATATATATATATATATATATATATGATATATATATATATATATATATATATATATATATATATATATATATATATATATATATATATTATATATATATATATATATATATATATAATATATATATATATATTTATATATATATATATGTGTATATATATATATATATATATATATATGTATATATATATATATATATATATATATATATATATATATATATATATATATATATATATATATATATATATATATATATATATATATATATATATATATATATATATATATATATATATATATATATATATATATATATATATATATATATATATATATATATATTATATATATATATATATATATATATATATATATATATATATATATATATATATATAATATATATATATATATATATAAAATATGTATAGGTATATATGTATGTAACAACTTATCCACCCTTCACTTTGGTGTACCACTGTCCAGAGTTGTATTTTTTTCACTTTTGTATGTGATTCCTTAGTAATTAATGTTTCTTTTTCAGCTGTTATTGTAATTGTGTTAGTTCATATATCATCATGGATGACTCAACTTTGGAGACAGAAGGATATGACAACACTAATGAATTCATATCTGTTAAAGAGGAGATAATCGAAGATGTCAGTGTGGAAAATTGTCAGGAAATAAAAAAAGAAGTTATCAGTTATGAAGGTGAAGAAAATGCCATCTTTATAAAGGCTGAAAATAAGACAAGTACGAGTGAGTGTCCCGAAATTGCTGATGTGGAAGCAAATAAGAGTGAGGAAAATGCCATCTTTATAAAAGTTGAAAATAAAATAGATAAAAGTGAGTGTCCTGGAAATGCTGATGTGGAAGTGAATAAGAGTGAAGAAAATGCCATCTTTATAAAAGCTGAAAATAAGACAAGTACAAGTGAGTGTCGCGAAATTGCTGACGTGGAGGCAAATAAGAATAGCTCAGATGTTCTGATGTGTGATTATGAAGATCCATTAAAAATAATGCCATTTGTGGTTAAAGATTGCGGGAATGTAAACTCTTCAGAAGGTGGTCAAGAGGCATCTCAGAATTTTAAGGAAAAAGTAACACACTTAACTCTCGATAAAAAGGGAAAGAGTTTTGTCTGTGAAGTATGTTGCAAAACTTTTTTATATAATGGTCATCTCTTACTTCACATGAGTGTGCATACAAAGAAACACAGCTGTGAAGTTTGTTGCCGAACTTTCGCAAAGAAGAGTCACCAAGTTGCACACATGCGAGTACACACCAAAGAGAAGCCTAATAAATGTAAGATATGTTCCAAAGCATTCTCTCATAAACATCATCTTAAACAGCACATGAGGATACATACAAAGGAAAAGCCTTACAGCTGTGAGGAATGTGACAAAAAATTCTCAAAAAGAGATGCTGTAGTAGTGCATATGAGAATACATACAAAGGAGAAGCCTTATACATGTGAGGTTTGTTGCAAAGCTTTCACACAGAAACATCATCTAGCAAAGCACATGAGAATGCATACAAAATAAAAATTTAATAATATCTGTAAGGTACTTTCATCTACACCTAGAAGAAGCAAAGGGAAAACTTCAACATGTTCAAGTAGCGTATGTCAAGGTAGTTGAGAAGGTAATGGGCAAAGATCTTATCATTTATAGGCAGCCTTTTTATTTGTGATAAATTAACACTTAGTGCACATGAGTTATACATATTTAGCTATGAAATCTCTATTCTCTCTCCCTTCCCTCTTCCTCTCTCTCCTTCCTCTCGCCTCTATCTTCTCTCCTCTCTTCTTTCTACTCTAAAGACAGGTGTGTGTGTGTGTCGATGCGTGTGTGCGTTCGGATAGACACACTCACTTACACACACACTTTCACTCACTCACTCACTCACTCACTCACTCACTCACTCACTCACTTTTGTCCTAAATACATCCATATGGTTCAGTCCCTCATAGGACTAAAAGTGCCTGGAAGACCCTTGGAAGTATTATTGAAGTATATATGTTAATGGTATTCATAATGTTATATGATTTATATAATCTTACATGTTATTCAGTTTGTTGTATACACATCTTCTCCATCACATATTACATACATATATATATATATATATATATATATATATATATAATATATATATATATATATATATATATATATATATATATATATATGCATGTATATGCATATACACACAAAACATACTAATGTTGTGTTGTCTTTCCCTGTCTGCAATAGCTATGTATTATAACATTTCCTTCTCCATCACCAACTGTCACATGCTAAATACGTGACATAAGTATCCTTAGTCCATTGTACAACAGCTAGACTCCCTGTGTGGAGCCAAGGAGCAACACCTCGCTTCTAGGAGGAGCAGCCTCATTCCAATATTATTACTTTTTAATAAAGAAGTCAAAACATCTTGGTTGTCTGTCTTACACCCACCTTTAAGATAACCATTCATCATACTATGTGAGGCCCATCTCTTAGGCCTGTACATTTG